TGCTACTTAGAATGAGATGTGTCAATATTTTACGACGGAGAAAGTACGGATCAGTGCAACCACATAGGAAACTACCATATTCATTCTAAAATGTTACTACTTAGGATGAGGATGTGTCAATATTTTAAGACGGAGAAAATAATAGTACTCCCTCTGTCCCACTGTCCCAGAATATAATGCCTCCTCCAACAAGGATGAGTCAGCTAGCTCATAAATCTCCACATCAGCTTTTGTATGATGTGGAAGAGAGAGAAAATAAGGAGAGAGAATGCACTATCTCTTCTTCAAGAGCTAAGCTCCTAAAGAAAATGTAAGAGAAATTATGGAACCCAAAGCATTTTAAACAATGTGCTATGAGACAATCTATTGGAGAGGTAGACTTTTTGCTATCTCTTGTATGAGGTGGACAAGCATGAGCTAGTGCACTAGCTCAATCATGAAGGAGGCCTAAGGAGTTTTAGAGTTGGACACGGTTATTAAGAAAGTAGGTAGAAGTGAATGATGGAGAGTTGTGGTTGGATGAGTAGTGGAGGTAGGTGGAAAAAATGAATGATGGAGGGTTGTGATTGGTTGGGAAGATAATATTGGTGGAGAAGTTGTTATATTTTGGGACAAATACTAAGGGCTAAAATTTGTTATATTTTAGGACGGAGAGAGTATCAAACAAGATTTATTAATGGACATGACCACATAAAAAAACTAAGATCGCGAGCTACTGGACTAGTCCTAGTAGAGCATGAATAGCAGACTATAACCGACTATAAATATATTTTAAAGAGATAAAAAAAAGAGAGAAGAGCGGCGGGCTTTAGATTTGTAGCCAGCTGCAGTACGGACTCCAAAACATAATATGTGTATGACAGGTGGGATCGGATATTAATAGTGTAGTAAGCAGCTATTGTATGAATTGGCTATAAGTGATTTGGAGTTAATAGTTGGGTATACTGTTAAACTTGCTCGTAGTAGTGTGGAGTAGAGTGTGAGTGTGTAACTGCAGCTAGCTAAGGTAGCAGTCATTATCTTAAAAAAAAAAGCTAAGGTAGCAGTAGCACGCGCGGGCGCGGGCAAGAGGACGCATTGATGGACGACGGCGAGAATGCATTGGCGCGCGCGGCAGTGGCATTGACGCCGGCCGGACCACGCAATCCGCGACACGATCTTTGCATCATTTAACTCCACACCCCCCACAACCCGGCCGCCTCGACGTCGCGCCGTGTCGTGTGCTTGAAAAGAAAAATGAATACACCCGACCGTCCTGTGTACGTACCCCCAACCGCATCGCCACGTGCGCACGCTCATACGTGGGCCACACATGCATGTACTCCCTCCAAAAATTCACGGTAACATCGTTAATTTCTAGAGCTGGATATATTCATAGTCCCATAAATTATACTCCCTACTTCCCTAAATATTTGATACCATTGACTTTTTTAAATATGTTTGACCGTTCGTCTTATTCAAAAACTTTTGTGAAATATGTAAAACTATATGTATACATAAAAATATATTTAACAATAAATCAAATTATAGGAAAAGAATTAATAATTACTTAAATTTTATGAATAAGACGAACGGTCAAACATTTTAAAAAAAAGCTAATGACGTTAAATATTTTGAAATGGGGGAGTATATTTTTGATTAGACGGTAGGCCAGAGGCTGCTTTTAATTGAAAGCCAAACGGCCTAGTTCAGCTGGGGATACCAGCGTACATGAAGGACAAACTTCACACGAGGAGGAACAAGTGCTCAACGAGCAACCCAACACTAACACATAGGAAACACCTCCAAAAAAACTAAACAGAGCGATCACAAAAGGGTTCAGCGCAAACACAGTGGCCAAGATTCACATAGCTCTAACAGCTACAGCTCTAAGGGGAACCAGCAAACTAAACACAAAAATTAACCCACTCCCACTCTTGGGGTCCTCAGGGTCGATCAACACCATCAGCTTCATCCTTTCCACCAGCGCTTCCATCTTGATTCCTTCCTCAGGTCGTCATAGCTTCCTCCACTGCAAAAGATTAGAGGTAATTTAAAAAGGTATAGTCAGTACGTGGGGAGTAAACCAGTTTTCCTCTGAAGATCATATTATTTCTGGTTATCCAGAGATTCCAACAAACAGCAGCCAATAAACTCAAAGTAACTCTAATAGAAAATTGGTTAGTGTCACCCTTGCAAAGAAAAAAAAACTCCTCAAAATTCCTAGGGATGGTATTCCTATTTAAAGTGTCCCTGCAAATGCACCATATCAGTCCCATAAATCAATGGATTATAATTTTGTAAACCATTATAATTTAACCTACAAATTTTAAATCCAGCGAGGATCTATAATATAGAGTTGTGTAGGAGTACCAAACAAGACCTAAATTAGTTTCATTAAATTTATCTGTGATCTAGTGTTGGAAGTGCTATTATGTTTTTTCTATAAAATTCAATAAATTAAACTTGAAAAGGTTTGATTAGAAAAAGTATAAAAAAGTATCTTGCAATATGGAATTGAGGTGGTAGAACAGTGAGGTTGTGTACTAGTATAAGATTATTTCGCAAATTTTGTTTTTCAACTTTTTTGAATTTAGAGAAATAATAAAATTCGATAAAAAATTATTCAGGCCTAAATTTCGGCAATTAATTTCTAAAATTTCAGATTCTCCGGTGCCCTCAGCATATTTTTGCATACCCAAATACTTTCTCCGTCTCTAAATATAAGATATTTTGGTTGGATGTGACATACCTAGTACAACGAATTTGGACAGAGAATATGTCACATCGAACCAAAATCCCTTATATTTAGGGACAGAGGGAGTACTTAGTAAACCCTAGTATCCATGATCCATCTGTAGTCCATGCATCGCTGACATGTGGGCCACGCAGTTGCTAAGCTAAGCTACAAACAGTGAGGCTGTGTACCTGCTCGGCTGCAATAACTTGGGATCCTGCCAAGTTTAATTCCAGTTGATACTGTTTCTGCAATCCACAAAGCGTATGATGGTGATTACATTAATGTGTTACTACGACTTTCAACTTACGACGACGACGACGATATGATGCGTCTTTTTTTGGTCCTCGTCGCCGGCAATCATGGTCGCACAGTAATTAACACAGTGGTGTGTAGTGGCTAAAAGCTGCATATGTCATGTCATCTCTCTGAAAAAGGCTGGCTGTTATTATGATCTTAGCAGCTATAATAGCTCTGACTGATTAATGATCCGTAAAAACATAATGATCCAAGCAGCTACGAGACGCGTGAACCGGTTAAAGAATGTTCGGTTCTTTGTCTTGTTGACTGGTAATCTCAGTCCAAATATTTCCGGTGCAGAGAGGAGAGTTAATTACTATAGTACTAATTAATAGTAGTAGTAATAGTAGATTGTTTTTGCTTGGACCAGCTATATAATTACTATAGTACTAATTAATAGTAGTAGTAATAGTAGATTGTTTTTGCTTGGACCAGCTATATAGCCGACCAGGCATGCATATGCAGTGATGCACCGAATTAACCTGGGTGATCTATTGGGGAAACGCCAAGAGGAACTCTCTGCATTCACAGATAATACAGATTGTTCTAATGCTGTACGTGTGCCTTAATTTTGTTTTGGCATGTCATGTCTTAAAATGCAGAGGTCGTGTTTGGTATCTTTGATACAGTCTCTAATTCGCATATTTCGTAATTTTATTTCGCATATGGTGGCCTTCCATCGTTTACCCCGTGGTTTATAAGCTATAGCAAAATTTTAAATTTTAAAATGTTTTTGGGCTTTTGTATCGTAGTTTACCGAAGAGGCTGTTCTGTGGAAGAAAGCTGGGCTCCTCCCGGATTAGGGTGGCTGTCTTCTTGGTTGCTAAACTGATGACGCGAGATATAGGCCCTATGTTTTAATCCTGTTCTTTGTTCTTCTGTTTGTTGTTGTTATTTAAAACTCCTCCAATTCTTAATACAAATGATGTGCAATCGTTTTGCGTATCCTCAAAAATAGTTTAGTATTTAGTGTTCGTTTTCAAATCGCAAAAGAAAGTTTCTTCAATAAATTATTTTGTAGTTGCTATAAGCTGTAGGACAAACGATGAATGCCATTTTTTTTGCCCCTCGACTGCATGAACTAAAACATGACTTGCATTTTGGATCAGAGGTGGTATGATACTTTTTGTAGCGTTTTTATGCTATGTGCATCAATGTTGTATGATTTAGATGGTACAGTAGCCAAGGGTACTACCATTGTATGCCTACATTACAAGTTTTTCAAATTGCCTGCCAAGCTTTTGTTTCCATGATTGGAAAAGTTTACCTTTCTCTTTGCTGTTTGTTTCTGAATCGCATCCATCATCCATGGATTTCACTGTGACTGAGGGTTGCGGAATTAAGTTGTGTACATTTTGGGCTATAGGCTTTTTAATTAGTCCCCTGTCCCCTGCCTGGGTGAAGATGCTGTGCTTGGATTTTAAATGACATGGTAGTAGTAGTACGAGTACATAGTACGTAGTATTCATCTGTAGGCTAGCCAACTCTCCTGGTGAAAGCTTTTTTTATGAAGTTGTGAGTAGTAGCTGTAACTGCATGCATAGACAACGAGTTTAACTGCAGTACAGTAACATTGGCTTCCAACTCGCAATGCTGTATTGTTGTTGCTGCGTGTAACAGTGCTCTGGGATCTGCACATTTCTGGGCCATTATTGTGAATCTCTTGCAATGAAGCAAAACTGTGTCATTATACTGTTCCAATATAGTAGCAGTACAGATTTACAAGGACACTGGTTTGGAGTGAGGCTCCATGCTTTTTTCTGCACACATGGTAGAGGTCAGTAAATTACCTGTAAAAAAAAATCTGTAACAGCCTTCTGATCTATAAAGAATCCAGGCCAATCCAAAAGGCAGGAAAACAAATCTCACTTGTGCTTGATAGTGCAAATAGAGTATTTATGTAACTCGACTTGTTTGGTACTGTACCAGTTAATGAGCAGGTTAACCATAAAACATACTACTGTTTCCATTAGAATCTCACTTGTACATGGTAGTATAAATTTCTTATTAATTTTTGTCACATAAAAAATACCGCTGTTTCCATTAGAATTTCTGAATGCCATACATGTGTGATTGGTTGGGCTAACCATATCACAATTTAATCAATGTCGTCAGTTAGCCCTTCCAAAAGTAACTGAAAAGATTGTTTGTACAATTGCACATCTCAAAATTGCTTTCTTTTCCTGTAAATGGACGCTTAATGACAAATCGATCGTGTATAACTTCCATCAAAAGACGAATCTATGAAATTTCAAAATGGGAAAGTCCCTGTTAACCGGATATGCTCAAGGGTGCGCTTTAGACCATACTGAAGAACAGCTCGGTTGCCAGCTCTAAAACCATCGCCATAGGCCATTGAGGTATCTGACTCAATTTGGTGCTTGAAAAAATCACCAAGCTTTCGCTCAAACTGAGATCTTCCCCCCTTTTTCGATGATGTGGATGCTGATGAGGATGAAGACGTTGAAGCACCATTACTGCCTGATCCTGCAATGATCTCTGACTCAATCCACATGTGAGCAAGAACTTGGCATATGCCCTCTTCTACGTCTGGACTAAGTGTGCGATATCCTGCAAGTAGATATGCATTATAGCATGAAATGTCCATATACATTTTTTAAGTAAATGAGAGAGTGATGACAGTGGCAAGCTAATGTAAACTCTTCCTCATACAGAATAGGACTGAAGTACTGAATCATGCGCTGCAATATGGATTCTCTCTTTTTCTCTATTATTCAGCACCTTCCTTAGATAACAGATTTGCTAATATCATTACTATTAGTTTTGATTTCATATTCAGCGGTGGACAGCATGTGGTGATGTGACTAGCTTGTATTTTGTACTGAGATTTACAAGATTAATAGTAGTGTTGATTGTTTTGTCATTGCCAATATACTTATTATTAGTGGCATATAACGGAGGATTGCCAACAATTTACATGGTAACTCCCCAAGTTCACCCACTCATGGACTTGTACAATCTTGAAAGCAAGATGACCAAGTTTCTAGCGAAGAATATAGTTTTAGTTGCTATATTCTTGGTTCAGGTACTCAGTCATATGCTAAATGGCAAATTGGCAGTCTCAGCCACAATGCAAAAAAATCCTGGCCCTATCAGGCAATCACCCTCACCAGAATAGCTAGTCATTATAAGTGAGAAGTAAACCACACAGTTTTCTGTAGGAATCTTGAACCATGATCTTTTTTAGTCTTTACCACAACCAAAGACCGTGAAAGTTCAATGCTCTAGATTACCAATGTGTTGTACTTGTACACCCAATAAGAGTAGAACAATTAGTACACTAAAAAGAGTAGAACAATTCCATTGATGTATGGGCAGTTTACATTGATTTGTAGCAACTCAATTGCTTTTACTAACCTGTTTGTCTTTGAACAAACATGTGCTATTTAATTGAAAATAAAAGGTCCTTTTCCTCTTCTCTGACTTCTCGTGTGTTATTTTATTATGATGTTTGTCCAAGAATGAAAATGAGAATTAAAAATTACCTTTAAGTCGCAACCACGCATGCATCATCTCATGAGCTAAAATTGAACCTGTCAACAATCTGCAAGAACAATAACACATTAAAATACCGACAATGTACTTCATGAGGTCCCAATACAGAAGAACCAAATGATAACACAACAAATAATTTGCATATTGTACTGCAGAAGCTACAGTGACAAGGCACAAGAGTAATATCTTTTCCCATTAACTCTGTAGAGTCAGCATGCAGTCCAGAATATCTTCAGTGAATCCATAACATTTTTTAGAAGAATGTATTCTCCAACACAGAAAGAAATATTATTTCAAATCAGTTATAAATTCGAATATTCCTCCTAGTTTTTGTTGATATTAAAAGAGTAGCAACAAGGTAACAATGGCATTATGAAACAGATAGTAAGTGGTTCACCTTGGGAGACCATAAAGAATGAGAATTGCAGTCACTTCACATCGACGAGTCAACCTATATGGCTCCGTTATCATTTCCATAACTTTATTTCCAGCCATTCTTGGTCTCCTCAATATCTAAAATATTAAAAATAAATGCTGGAACTCAGTCAGAAGTCAGAACACAGCAGACCAATACAATTGAAATAGAATTTAAATTATGAAAAGATCCATTCATCTCATGCTCAGAATAGTTCTCACCGTGCTGACAGTTTGCTCTTCTGATAAGCATAAACCTCTTGTTTCTGGAAGATGGTGGTGACCCTGGTTTCCACAGGAAACAAAATATTTACTAACATTAGTATAGTGAAAAACAGGAGAATCATGGATTGTCCAGCTTTGGTCAACATACAGTCTTCTCTCCTTCCATGGCTTCATTTAAAGCCTGTCTTTCTACAAGAAGCAAGGGAACTTGTTGTTCCACTTTCATATTTAGGCCTTCATAAAATTCCTGTATTTCAAGATAAAGAGGTTGGCACTCGCTCGTATCCATAACTGCAGAATCAAGGCACTCCAGGCAGAGTTTGCGACCATCGTCCAGCAATACATATCTTGATTCCCTTGGCTGATAAGAGCACAAGCCATTTTTTGATGAACTGATCAAAATTTTGCAACAGCAACATATCTGACCAAGTATGCTGAATCAGATTTATAAATTCAAACATGGTAATTGAACGTACCTCCATTCTTTCACAACTACAGCATCTTGGAGTACCGTCCACCTCATGTGATGGACAGTATTTTTGTAACCAGAAAGGATGTGCTCTATATTCAATCAGGCCATTCATATTTGTAGGAATCTGAATAAGAAGGAACTGTAAGATGGCGCATTTAAAAAAACAAAAAGAAATTGTCGGCTGTTACTTAACACATGTTAACAACTTTCACATGTCAATTATTTGCTGCCCCATGACTAGTGCTTTTCAAATGCAAACATGGCCAATCAGCTATCCACATGATTCAAGGCTTTCACAATTGTAATAGAAAATGAGAAAAGGTGAATATGCATGTTAATCATATATCAGCAACAGTAAACATTGCAATCATGATGGCATGTGGAGTAGTTTCCTCATTTAACAACAGCACGGTATATCAGTTCAGAGGAAGCTTTGATAGTACTAGGTATGAAAATATAGAACAAAACGATCCGTCTTATGCAAACAGATAAGAGCAAACTAATGAAGCGACTCTTACAAATTGCTTGCAGACATCACATTTTGGGTGAAAGCGCTCCTTGTAGCATGTTTTATGGTATGGATGGTTTCCCGACATGGAGAACTGCATAGTCATATATTGGTTGACTATAAGCATAGAAACATTACTCTTGCAGACATGGATAACTGCTTAATAAGTAAACAAAGGAGTTACCTCATAGTCATATATTGGTTGATTACAAGCATGACAGCGAAAACATTCTGGATGCCAAACAGCTCCCATGCAACTAAGGAAACGCCCATGACCAATCTCACTGTGACATCCGGCACAAGTCCTGAGGAAATAAGCGTATATATTAAGAAACAGTAAGAGTAAAAGCAACTCGCAGCATCCCATTCTCGCTTACCAATTACCATCCCCAAGTATCAGTGCAGCTCTTTCTTGCATTTTAACTTTTGGGTAACAAAATATACACTAATCACTTTTTTGCTTTATGACACTGTAAAGAACATATCCTGGGTGCTTCTGGTGAAGGTATAATGGAACCCTGCAGATTTTGCAGGACTTCAAAACATGCATGCAATAGTGCAACCATAGGCCACAGTCACTGCAAGTTTAATCAATGAACCCAAAAGGGGGTGATTTCTTCTATGGTTGACACCTACATACCATAAGGGGTAATCTCCTGTGCTTGCTGTGGCTGTGGTGCAGCTGACAGCTGCACCAAATCTCAGATTTAGCAGTGTCTGTGGCTACAACAGCTAGCACGACCTATAACCTAGATAGTTTGAACCTTCTTCACAGGGGTAAAAGAAATATTTACAAAAATTTAATTTGGCAAAACTGAGGTCCACAGTTTTCAAACTCGCAAAAGAGCTGCTCAGCTGTACACCTTAGCTCTACAGAATTGTATCAAACAAAACTAGGGAGATTGCCTTTGACCTCTTTAGTTCATATGCAAACTCACACTGAAAATCTGGTACATAAGTTTTTTAAATCAAGATACACCCACTAAAATATATCTGTGAACCCCTTACACAAAAATGTGATATCCAGGGAATGAATTGTTAAAGTCAGCACGCCGCGGGGCAATACAAAAACAAACAAAAGTGGTGTTTTAAAAAACAGTAGCACGTAGTCTGTATGGTTCAGGACTTAATTTATTATACTGCTTTATGGTGAATACTCGTATCAGTAGTTATGTGGCACTTCAACATCAATGAACCCAAAATAGCATGTCCACATAAAGTATCTACTACAAAGTATCTAGTTATACTAAAGTAAGAAAAATGAAAATGAACCTGAATCCAGAAGAAAACATAAATGGCAGTGGTTGATACATATTGCCACCATTGGCGTTGCCATTTTCACGAGCACGAGGAGGCGATTCAACATTCAAACTTTCCTGGATAGCTCTTGCAAGTTGTTCATCCTCCTCCAAATGCATGTCCTTTTCTAGATGAGTGAAAGAAAATGAAACAAAAAGTATTGCATGTTAAATGCATGGATTCATCGATCATAGACACAGAATACCATGATGTAGAATTGCTTGATAGGTAGCTCCAAACAGCATTTTATATAATACTTCCAGATGCACTTTTATTACTTGGGTACAGTTCTAATCCAAACATTTGGTACAGAAGTATATACAAAATGTCCACACTATGATTTTCGATTTTTACATCTAGAACCAGAGAACTCGCACCAAACATTTCACCAACACATAACAAAAAATAGCCACAATTCAACATGTATATTTCTCATGAAAGAATAACACATATATAAATTTCTTTTTCTCACAATGGATCTGTTTATGCTTTGCCGTTGAGTATTAACATACTATTCTATATTGTGACTCAAAAGAAAAATAATGTTGGCCTAGTCCTTGTATAAATGTGAAACTAAAAAAAGATCAACCAAGTTCAGAAACAGAGAGTGTGAAGAAACTTATCCTAAACATGGACTCCATATGAACATACTGTATCATCGGCAATGAACTAGCTCCAAAAATTTTCTGATAGGTGTGGAAATAAGCACAAGGGGCTCTCTTAAAAGTTAAAACGCTAAGCACTTTGACAGATGTCATCGAATAAAAATGATATGAAGGAACAGCTGCTGGAAGTAAAGAAGCGGACAAATGTCAGCCTTTTTGGACAGTAAGTACTCAAACAGCAGAAGTACTAGTATTAGTTACCATACTAACCTATTGCCTTTGCCTTTCTTTGTTCCTCCTCTAATAGAGAGAGTGATATAGCACGAGCGATATCTTCATTGTCAAATTCTGACGGGACATCCTAAATTGAATTTGAAAATAGATCAGCTACATAGTCAAAAGATGTAGATTCCCATTCTTTTTAAGCACTAAATAACAGATACTACTACAATGGCATATAAGCTCATTATATTTGGAAGCAATTTGTGTCATCCTGAACCTAGAGGCATATGCACAAAAAATCAGTGGTATAGTTTTTGTTAATACTTAATTCACATTGACCAATCACCAAATCACCTGAAACTCAACCAACAAAACCACATAACAGTATTACAGATAAGAAAAATTATGTTTATATGACCTACTAAGCAAGATAGCAATGTGAAGCGATGATGTATTTTTCAGCAGGGGAAATTGCATTTGTGCACCTCCAAATTCGGAGATTAGAATAGTACAGATTTACACCAACAGAACTGGTAATAGCGTTATGCTCTGCATACAAAGGAAGACATAAAACACACAGAATTGTTCTCCCTAACCAGGGTAAAAAATTTCTTGTTTTGTACAAGAGCGTCAAGATATAGTTACATTTTACACTGTAAGTGGCGTACATACACCATGCTGATGAGCATGAGAAGTTTGCAAGAGTTGCAATTGTGAGTACATGAGGTGCAAGACTGGTTGGGCCTGTTGCCTCAACTTACAACAATCTACATCGTCAATGACAAGTTGACGGAGATCAGTAGCCAACAATAGCAAGTCGAGTTGACCAAATGTGGACTCTAGTGGGTACACCATCTAAACACGGGAACCACATTTCCCATCAAAACCAACAGTTTGCAGTTTTCTATGTCCATATCAGTAATGGCAAAACTTTTGTGTATGGATGTAGCCAACACTTTCAAGAGGGATAATGATCTATCCGCAACTGTTAATAATAAAAATATTTTAGAATATGGTTGGAAAGTTAGAACATGATGGTAGTTTTTTTTTCCCACATCTATTGGTATTTCTTTTATGGCGCAGAATCGCAGTACATTGTTTATAGTTTAATGGACAAACAGTCAAAGACCAAAATTTTGATTGTGAACATGCCGCAATGGCATATGTTATAGAACAAAGGGAGAAACAAAGTGAGATTTAATACTCTATACGAGGGTGCAATCCAAGCTTTTTGGAGCACATTTCAAATGCATCTCCTTTGGCTATCCTAGTTTTATAAGAATGCACTTTTGCCCTAACACGAAGATAACCGTAGAACAATTAATGAGCTCTTACTCCTGAGAGGTAAATGTATAACACAGAAGAACTTACCGTCACAACTGCGGAATTAGAGGGTCCATTCCATATCGTCTCCTCCGCGGGTTTGCTGTGGTATTGCCCTTCCGAGATTTTGTGGGTTGAACCTCTAAAAAATTTGGTCAACCAACCCATAGAGCTCCAAATGGCAATGTTGGAAGGGACACTTTTATCTGCAATCAATCCAAGATGTTAGGATACCACAATATAACACAAGAAAAATTTCAAGCAAGGGATCAACACCAGAGAATCATAACTAGTTACCAAAGTTAGCCAAGTTAGCAGATCGATTGCAGGTCCAGCCGTTTGAGTACCCTCCTCCTCACTCAGGCCCCTAAACCAGAAACCTCCTAACCTCACAGGAATGGTTAACAGGATAGATCGGAGATCAAGCGATGATTCTCACAGACCCCCCACTGGGTTTTCTATCGCTAGCAGCGTCGCATTAGAACGTAAGCCTGGAATGGCTCAAAAAAAAATGCAGGTTCTCCGGCATCAGGCGGGGATTACGAGCGGCGGCAAGATCGAGAGGGGGGGCACACGCTCCGCGTCTCTATCGTGGGGAAGGGGACGAAATGCCAATGCCCACCACCACCACCACCACCACCACCCGCGTCGGTGCTAAAATTGCGCGGAGAAAACGAAGGGTGGGGCTCCGATCACCTGATCACCGCGTCACCCGCGCCCCTCCCGCGGACGGGACCGCCGGCGATCCGCCACCGGCCTTTGCTCGACCACCACCAGCAGCAGCAGCAGCACCGAAAACCCGACAACGAAACGAAGGCAAGCTACGACCGACGACGTCCGACGTCGCCCGCCGCGACGGAGGAGGGGGCACGCTCGATCCCCACCTCCGGCGTCGTACGCCCGCCGTGCCCGTACGCGCGCGCGCTCGGGCGGCGGCGGCGAGCGGGCTTGGCGTGGGGTGGTGGATTCGGGGTGGGGTTGTGCGGGATTTGGGAATCTGTCTCGCCTCCTCGCTGCTGCTTTGCCTTGCTTTTTGTGGCACGGCAGGAGGAGGCAGGTGACCCGCTCCCCCGTAACACCGCGGGGAAGTTGGGGGGTTAATCCATCTGTTTGCAGCTTGGTAACCGTGTAATAAACTAATAACACTGCCTTAAAAAAACGAAAATTTTAAAATGGGTTGGAGCATCCATGGTTGATAGAGGAGAAAATGGTGAGAAAACATGTATTCGAGAGGATTTGAACTTAAGGTCAATGCATTAGATCCGGTTTAGATGGGATTAAAAGTAATTTTAAGTCTCTATCGCATCGGATGTTTGGGCACTAATTATAAATATTAAACGTAGACTATTAATAAAACCCACCTATAATAAGTTTTTGGATCTAAATACCATCTTACTCTAAGTAGCTGTCCTATCACCGAGCTACGCGCCGGTGCATTACTCCCTCTAACTTGACGCTAGATCTGTTTGTTCCTGTAAGCGAATACGACCGTCTAATTGTGAATTAGATGAAAGTTTACAAGTTATCGAATAATTATCTGAACAGATATAAATAAAATAGCGTAACTACATATTTAAAATCAAAATACCCACTTCACAAGAAAGGACTAGACAGCCTATACATCCTTAAAGTTGTCATTTGTTTCTTTTCCCTTCCAGAAAGTCAAATATGCAGTTTTGCACGGAACCTATTCGCTTATATCGGATTGGTTATATTTGTTTTTGGCTCTGGTTGCGTTTTTTTCAGGGTTTTCCGGAGGAACCCGACGACGGACGGACGGACCACCGCCGTCACCGCGTGAGACGACGAAGAGGGACACGAAACCGGCGCCGGGAGGCGAGCGAGAGCTCACGCGGAGAAGCAAGCGACGAGGAGTCGTGTTGACGCCGGCAGAGCGTACAGGAGACTTGGTGGTAGTAGTTGAGCGCTACGTTTGGACTTTGAACCTAGGCATGGCGCTGTTTGATTGTCACCAGTTTGAATTTTCCATGTGCAATCTTCCAACGACCATTTTTTTTTCCTAATATGTAGTGGTGTAGAGACGAGTTTCTGAAGGAAATTTGACCCACTTTGGCTGTTTACTGAAATTAAAGGCAGTTCTCATGTAAGCATGACAGAAAACCTTGGTGTTAGAATTTAGTGAGCAAAGAACATGATTACATAGGGAGGTGCTGGTGCAGGCAAACCATCAGCGAATTTACATTGCATTACTTCACTCCACGGACATTTTGACAGTGCGTTTTGTACTTCTCTGTATTGCGAAATTCGGATCATACTAGTATCACATTTACATTCATGTACGGAGTACTTAGTTTCGGTACCAGTTTGTGGAAGTCATATGTGCTCACGTGGTTGCTTGTACAAGACTAATTCCTGCTCAAGCTCCGTCCTGGCATCACCCACCGTCACCCAGACCTCGGAGATTTTCTCAACGGCGCCTTCAAAGAGATCAACAATGGTGAACGCCCGCGATGTCGGAACCATCAGTCCTGTTAATCCTTCGAGCCCAGTCTTTTCGCTTGTGGAGATTGCAGGCTGCCTGCTTGATTGCGCATGATTCACTCTAGGCACAACGGCGCCGTTCAGATATATAGTCCGGTTAGCTCCAAAGGCAATCATCTTCCGAAGGCCTCTCCCGTAGGCGAGGCTCTTGTGCATGTGACCGAACACGACCAGCGGTATCGAAACTCCGGTTTCTCTTTGCAGATCAGATATGGCTTGCTCCAGATCTGCGGAGGTTCTTGTCTAAGATGGCGTATTAAGCAACTGTACAAGTGGAAGTATCATCGATGGAATATCAGACCTGGATCACCATGATCACCACCACCAGCAACCCAATCCCGCCCACAAATATCCTCCATTCTTGAGCCTAGACCTGTGTAACCATAATTTAATGTAGGCATGTTACAGCATATGTGTGCAAGTGCAAGTATATGTAGTTTGCTAGTTTAAACGTTCAGACACCTGTTGGCCCATTGTGTGCCAGTAATATGACAGCATGCTCCTTTGGTGCATTTGTAGCAGCATCATATATCCTCTTTGCACTTTCAGCCATATCATTGACACCATACCTACATAATAATCGTAGGATCAAATAAACAATGGTAGACAAGTTTCCAATTATGAACAAGAGTAAGAGTTCACCAAGTAAAAAAAGGTAGCAGTATTGTGTCTGTCTTATGCACTTTGTTTTACGAGGTGGACTAACCATCCCTGACTACACCACCAAAATAATAATTTACTATAGCTTCACACTTCTTATTACAGTGTGCTATGTTTATTTTATCATTACCAATATATACTGCGCTGATCGACAAGAATCAGGTCAAAGCATAATCACCTACTCCACCAATATCCTTACCACTGTAGCTCGATTTCACTGCATGTTACTACACAGCAGAAGTAGTATGCAATAAGAAACCAACCCGGTGAAGCAACTAAGAATGACAGCTATCAACAATATATATCATCAAACTCTAAAATATTCACTACCTAATACAGTAGTGCTACAGATGAGAACGAAGTATAAGTTGGTAACTCTACTGTTTATTGTGCCATTCACCCATCATTTCACGAGTTCACATACATCGTTTGCTTCTTAATTCAATATGAAAAGAAGGGAAGGTAAAAATGACTTGTAGACCAAAATGACAAGGATATACCAAACTAGTATCTTTAGGAAAAGTATGCTGCAACTCATTTCTCTTATGCCTTACCTAAATTACTGCATGTTTCACATGAACCTTGTAACTATTTTTTGGATACTGTGGATCATTAGGTCTATTTTACATAAATCTATTATAAATAGCAGTAGTATTTTTTCAGTAGAGCCCTCTTCTACTGTTTCATGAAAAAGAAAGGACAACTAAGGACTCCTTAGTAAGGAGAAGTATATACCAAAGAAAACTGATAAACATGTGTATCTATTGGTTAGCATGTCTCTTACCAACCATTTTGACAGAAGCTTTGGTCTAAATATCCTATTACCCCCGCAGGAAAATGGTCGTCCACCAACAACACTCAGCTTTATTGTTGGAAAATCCAAACATTTGTACCCAACATGCTGCTCACCAAGGCTGAAATTGGCAACAAAAAATAACAACAGAAAATTACTTGCCGCAAGGTCTGCAAAAATAGTACCAGAGTCTGGTGAAGACAAGTTATAACCCAGAATCATCCTGAATTGCCACAGCTTATTAAAAATCATGGAATAATCAGGCCAAAATTTCCTGAGAATCACATTTTTTCCAGCAATTACTAGCACAGTTTTAAACAACTCACTTCTTCTTGGATTTAAGTGCAGTATCAGCTTCTTTTATTTCTTTCAAAAAAAAAAGAGATGCAAATCATGAAATGACCTAGCAACAATGCTAAAAATCAAAGTAATACCTGTTTAGTGCTCTGGTGCAACTGAAACAACTTTAAATAATGCAAGTTTTCCTTCAAAATAACAACAATTGTGCAACTCATATAACCCATTCATTGGCATTTCTTACAATAGAAATTCATCAAATGCTAGTGTTAATCATAACACTGTTGTATTAAACATAAAAGCATATTCACATTAAAGGAGGAACATCTTACCTCTCTAGCTGAAGCTGGACACGATCTACCTTCCTGAATGCCAACCAAGGATACATTCATCATTTCATCAAATATCAGTGCATTTATGTTGAACACTATCCTTGTTGGATGAAAGAATTATTCTTACTTCTCTGAAAACTGATACGTGTGCCAACAGTCATGATTCCCAAGAATAGCTGCTTTGGGGAGCTGAAGATCTGAAATGCTTTTAACAAGTTGAACATTCTCGTTGCCATAATCACCTGCCATAAATGGAGGACAGCAAACAGGAGATGTAAGGAATAAGCATTTAAGTGTAACTTCACAAAGTAACGAGTATATTATGTAGTACAGATATAATAGGGCAAAGGGCGCACCTGTAAAAAGTACCAAATCTGGCTGCATTCACACGGAGAGAAAGTTAGATCTTCTGGGAATAAGAAACATAATGTTATAGAAAATAAATGTAGTACGGATATTTTTCTATCAAACTCCAGTGTCATTTTGGCAGCTGGACTGTACATCAGTACATGTTGATGGCAGGCATACAAAAAGGCGTAGAACATGAATAAAGAAAAGGACAGACTGCACTTCAGATGATCTTACATCATAAAACTAGAGACATGCTACAATAATCAGATGTGAATAACTTAATGCAATACACAGATACAATTGACTGAATTTATCTGGATTTGCAATACCTGGAGAAAATGTAGGGCTTTTGAGTCTTCCTCAAGGGTCCAATCATTATGCTGCAATGTTCAGCACATCACAACAGCCAATTAGTGCATTGTTCTCATCAAGAGGATATTATAATCCCTTGAGCCATAATTGATGTTATAACCAAGTCAAGCATGCAAATAAAGTAAAAGCCATCATATTCCTCTTAGTACAAGAAGTAAAGCACATCTCGACAGGAAAGCGAGCTAAGAGATTTCAAACCCACAAGATCAACAAAGCATGGTATCAAAACACACTATCCTAGTGACTGGTTCAAGCCACAATATGTTGTCACTCCGCTAAAATCTCACTCCCTGCATCTTCTCTCCAAGAAGACATTTTACAGTTTTGGCTTTTCACATTGTAGTTCACAAAAAAAAACTATCTCTGCATTTGTCCCTTCAGATGGAAGTCAAAGCTTTATCCCTCATGAACCTCTTCGCACCACCAAATTCACCTCCATCCAAACTACTACTACTACAATCAAACGCCACCTTAAACGCAAACCCCCACACAGCCACAGTGATGAATCACACTCATCATGCACTCCTCTCACAGCATCTCAAGATCGGAGCTAAACTGAGCTAAGAAAGTCAACAAGTATAGATGCCTCAGTTTTTTTCTTCTTTTTTTATTTTTTTTTTGGGGGGGGGGGGGGGGGCGGGAATTGGTAGAATGCTTCCGTCCCCAAAGCCATCTCCCTCTCACTCCGAATCCCCTATGCTACGCCACACGAAACCCACCGAGAATCGCAAGGCCACACCAGCACCCATGTCTGGCCTATCCCCCATCCCAGGCACGCCGCAAAGAAGAGACGGAGGAAGAGGGCAAGGAGGGGGTTACCACGTCGCCGACGACCGCGACGCGGACCCGGCCGCGTCCGACGCCGGCGCTGGCCATGCTCCTGCGGCTGGGCCTGGGCGGCGGCGAGGAGAGAGGAGGAGGAAGAGGATTCGCGGAGGCGCGCGCGGCGGCGGCGGCGGCGGCGGAGGAGGCAGCGGCTGCTCCCGCTGCCGGCCACGACGGAGTGGGAGGGGAGGAGCGAGACCGTAGCAGTGCGGGCCTCACCATTTCTTTCTTCCCCCCTTCTTTTTTTTCTTTTCTTTTTCCCTCTCGAAATGGTGGCGTGTGCTGCCGTGCCGGTCAGTTGTCCCGTGACACCTGGCGCCTGACGTCCCGCCGCAGCGGTTGGGTGGCGAGGTTGTAGGATCGAATCATATTAAGTAAGCCAATTAGAAGGGGTGAATAGTTGATATACTCAAAAACCCAAACTTTTAGCGGAAATAAAAGTTACCCTCAAATTTGATGTAGATCGGTCTGACCGAGGTTGATCCGCCGGTCTGACCGAGCTCATGTCGCCGGTCTGACCGGTGTTGATCCGAGCTCATGTCGCCGGTCTGACCGCCTGAAGATTGCCTGCCGCGTGTGAAGTCGCCGCCGGTCTGACCGCCTCTCCTCCGTCGGTCTGACCGCCGCCTGTCACCGGTCTGACCGCCGGTATGTCGCTGGTTAGACCGCCGAAACCCGATGAAACACAAATCGAAGAACTCTCAAAGTAGATGACAACTTTATTACTTCTCTCTGTGTTTACAAAGTGCATCAACAGCACTCCTTACAAAAATCTCGACTAAACTCAAAACCCTAACTAAACTAGCAACTCAATTGCTCTCAAAAACGATACCGGGAAGCCTCACGCTCCCCCTCTATTTATACATGAGGTAGGCAGCCTAAAGCCACGAACCAAGCTCATACTAAGAGTCCTAGACACCTTAGGAAACCCTCTAGTACAAGACACAAACTTTACATAATCAATTGTACCAAATTTGGACTCCTTCCAAATTCGACTCCGCATCCCATACGCACACAATACCCCATCGTATGCCATATGGAATCTTCACCAACCACGTGCATCAACTCTAGCCTTAGTATCCCGCATGATATCTGACCACCACGGACATCGTCTTACCACCAAGCCGACTCCCGGTCCATCACCGCAAATACTCTCCCGAGGCATCGAGTCACCTACACATGAAATAAACAAAGAAACCATATTCCGAGACCAAGCTATCCCCAACTTGACTCATTGTTAGCAAACAACAGTATTATATACGTATAGTATCCATCTAGAAGCCATAACCATGAAACAATCACAGATATCCAAAGAAACAACCCGAAACCGAAACTGACACAGCGTCGGCCGGTCAGATCGCGGGCCGGCCGATCTGATCGCTCGATCACCACCGGTCTGACCGACATACACCACCCGGTCGGACCGGTCACATAAAATAACAGTGAATCCGATTATCACCTGAAAATTGATTATCTCCAAAACCACTTCGACGATAATCTCCAAATATCAAAACCAATAATCACAGATGCCAATTGTTCATCACAGAATAAGAATCAAAACACACTTTGATCTTACAGAGGTGCCCAACACGCCTCCCTTTTGAGCTTCGCAGTCTAACTATAAGAACTTTGCGAACTACTCCCTCCGTTACACCTCCGTTACAAAATATAGAAGCATATCATCCGCTACTACGTTCTTACGTAGTATTTCGAATATTTTACGACGGAGGGAGTACAGAGTGCAATTTTATATAAATAAGGTTGTGTTTACGATGATAAAGATGATATGTGTTATGAGAACTTCTATCACAAAAATAATGGAGTAAATTACATCGTTGGTACATGAACTTGTCAAGTGGGTGCAATCTAGTGCACAAACTTGTAAAATACTCGTTTTGGTGCATGAACTTGTCTGGCATGTGCGGAGGAAGACAAAAAGATATTACGTGGCTAATCTTATTATTTAGGGGCTCAATAAGATCTATGTAAACATATATCTAAGAAAGTTTATTATTAGACATACACATCTTCAATAATAATAGAATGGATAAGAGATCGTATAAAAAGATTAAAACAGAGCAATGATATAAGAGTGAGAATATATATGAAATTCATCATTTCCATGATGAAGGATAAAGTAGGACCAAATATATAAATATTGCATGTCTTATGTATACTCGCTACACGTCACATCTAATCAACATCAGCTTCGTAAAATTAACATTGTCAAGCTATTTTGGTCATCGTTCGCACGAAGTAGACAAGTTTGTGTATCGAAACGAACATTTCACAAGTTTATATACTAAGTTGCACCCACCTAGCAAGTTTGATAGCAAGTTTATGTGCTATCAGTGCAATTTACTCAAAATAATGGTAAGACTATTTAAGTGTGTTATCAATATTACATATTTGTGACTATTTTAGTCTGGTGCACTGATGTTCATATGATGTTTTATATGAGATGAAGACCTATGATATAATAGAGTGGACTACAGTAAGTCCTAGGCTAGATTCACCCCATTTTCAAAACCGGCTATAACCGTGTTTTTACCGGGTACAATAAAGGCATGCACACAACAACCCATCAATTTTAAATAAACTTATAATAATTTAAATTTTGGATAAATTTATATGGTTTCTCACGTTTTGCTGTGATATTGTCGCCGAGATGTGGTTGGCTGCAAAAGTTTCAAACATCCCTATATCACCATGGATCATATAGTAAAAATACGTGGTTTAGTTTTGTTTTGACACAATATACTAGACACGATATAAAAGTGAGATATAACTTGAATGTATCAATGTGCTTGTAACTGATATGCACAGGTGCATGAGGGAACCTCAAATTAGCCAACACGTACATTTGCAATTTGCAAAGGACAAAGGACCGCTCAATGTGATAGCCAAATTAACATGATAAACAGAGATAGCAGGTTCACCTTCGCTTCTCTTGAGTTGTCCAGGACAAGATGTTGTCATAATTGCTACTCCCTCCGTATTTTAATGTATAACGCCGTTGACTTTTTAACCAACGGTTGACCATTCGTCTTATTCAATTTTTTTATGCAAATACAAAAATACTTATGTCATGCTTAAAGAACATTTGATGATAAATCAAGTCACAAAAAAATAAATGATAATTACATAAATTTGTTTGAATAAGATGAAAGGTCAAACATTTGTTAAACAGTCAATGGCGTCATACATTAAAATACGGAGGGAGTACTAACTCCCGCGTCCTTTCTAGTTAAAATTGTTTACTGAAATTCTATTGGTACAATGAAAAACATATATACATACACATGTCACATTGGACTTGAGAATTGAAGCCCCAGAAAAGAGTAGCAATGGAGCTCCTAATTATTTTCTTACAAAAGAAATACACACCACAACCACCTCTAATGCCTCCTTGGAACCTAGGAATTTGGTTCTATATGAATATTGAACCAATTTCTATGAAAATCATTACATTTTAATTTAAAATTAATGCATTTAGAAGAGACTTACATTTTTGGGACACTACTCAAATAGATATATTTTATCTCATATACAATTAAAATTATAAGTTGACAAAATAGTTAATATGTTTCAATGGTTGGCCATAATACTCGCTCGCAATTGTCCAAATAAATAAAGCCCTCATGAAATAGAGGATTGATTTAGTAGTACTTCTAGCAAAACTATAAGTTCTATCAACATCATGTGTATCTCTAAATAAGGCATGTCCATGCAAAGCTTGCATGCAACTATTAAATCTAGCCATTTGTTTCTAAGTCAAGCAACCTCCTCAATATCTCAGAGACCACATGAGAAAATGACAAGAAGTTCTCTCCGTCTATTTGTTTTCCTAACACAATATGCATGGTCAATTAGGCAACGTAGCTCTTATATCGTTTTTAGCATGAAAACATGCCAAATTTTCTATACCCATAACTATTTCATGATTTTCTTACATTCATAATCATTATATATCGCCAGTACATTAGGCCCAGCAAGATGAATAATGCCATCTAATTTTCCACGGCTCGATGACTGCCACGTGTCCAGTTCCTCCGAAGCAGCCATCCTCAGCCGTTTGATTCGCGTATAAATAGCCACGGGCACCCGAGCCCACCGCCTATTTCACCACCCGCTTCCCCTCCCACCCTCCCCCATTTGTTCCACCACCAGCTGGACGGCGAGACGAAGCGGAGGCGAGGGCGGAGGCGGAGCACCCCTCGCGGCCTCTCGCTTTAAGGTTCGTGCTCTCTCTCTCTCTCTCCTCCGCCGAATCCCCCAGGCGCTAACGCTGGACCAAATGCAGGAGGAAACCCTAGAGGAAGCGAGTTGGTGGAGGCGGCGGGGGAGGCGCGATGACGGGGCCGCGGGGTGGCGGCGGGGAGGACCCGCCGCGGACGTCGTCGGGCGCGGCGGCGTCGGCCTCGGCGTCATCCGGCGTGCCGAACGAGCCGCTGACCCCGACGTCGATGCTCATGTCGGGGCAGCAGGCCGGGCTGAACCGGCGCGGGTCGAGGAGCGCGGCGATGGCGACGTTCTCCATGGAGGTGTTCGACAACGAGGTGGTGCCGTCCACGTTGAGCAGCATCGCCCCGATCCTCCGCGTCGCCGCCGAGATCGAGCCCGAGCGACCCCGCGTCGCCTACCTCTGTATGTTCGGATGTTCCACGCTGGAACCATTTTTGTGTGCCTGTTTTTTTGGGGGGGATTTTTGGTGATTTTAAGGCCTAGATTGGTGCATTTTGGTGTTTAGGGGAGTTGGAATGAGGCAAGCAGCTCGAAATATTTTTTTCATGGCGTTTGATGGATGTGGCGAAGCCTGTGAAGTAGCGTGTGCCTGGGTGGTTTTGTGCTTGCAATTCTGTCGCAACGATTGCGTTCAGATTCATCCGGCGTGTGTTTCTCCGCGCATATCCTGGCTTTGCGGAGTTAGATTTCGAATTTGACCCCCACTTTTTTTTTTCTGGAATCTATTTTTGGATAAGGTTCGCTCACGAATGCATGACATGTTCATCTCAGAACACCCTTGTTTTGTTTCGTTTGATTTTTTTTTTGTTTCAAGGGTGTTTGTTTGGTTCGAATCATAGGGTAGCTTAACTTGTTCGATCGGTTTGCTTTGGAATTGTATCAACCAGCTCGAGTGGGTGATTCGGATGTCACGCTTATTACTGCTACTTACTGTAAGAATTAGAGGGATTTTCTAGCTTTTTCTGGGTTTATTTTGATCTGTTCCGGACCTTCTGGTCTGAATATAGGTCGGTTTTACGC